TGGAGATGTTATTGGTGCCCGTTCGAGCAAATCGATGAACAACAGGAGGACAGTGCTACAGTGGACAGTGCTTGTTTTTGGAAGAGGCCTAAGTTACTCAGAGCCTGTCATGGCGGTTCTCTGGCTAAGTGAGTCCTAACAGATGTTTGGGAGGATGTTAGATTCAGGGAAATAAAGGAGATAAAAAAGGGAGGTTTGGGGAGCCTACTCAGAGTGACAAATAGATTTCTTTTTTATAATTTATTTCTTTATTGAATCACTGTGGGAAAAGTTACAGAGCTTTCGGGTTTAGGTCTCAGTCATGTAAATATCAAACACATTTCCCTTTACCAATACTTATTTTTAACCCCGAACCCCAATAGAACCCCACCTCCCACCCCTCCCAATTCCTGTGAGGCAGATGAGTTCTAGTTAATACTCTATCTACTTTGACTAGATACATTGTTTCGATAGAAGATGCACAATTATTGTTTAGAGTTTACGACCCCCTCCCCCCATCAGACATGCTGAAACAGCGTTGTGAAATGATTTGCTTTCTACAACTTAGGTGCGGTTTTGGATTTCTGCTATTTTACTTATTGACCCTGGAAGAATTTCTATAAAAAGTTAGATAGTTAAGAGATTGGTTTCTGTGCCCTGGAGTCGTGGCCGTGCCGGAGAGCCGCTCGTGGGGGGCAGCTGGCGACCTCGGTCGGGCGTGAAGGATGAACCGGAACACCCCCCTTCCCATGAGGTCCCTGCAGCTCCCACCACCCCCGGCTCAAACCTGCTGTCCACAAGGCTCCCGTGCGGCCGCCATCTTTCTTTCCAGAGAGGAGCGGGTGAGCGGGACAACACCCTTTCCCCTCCGGGCAGGCATGGTGGCGCGGTTTAACACATAGTCCATTTGCTTTTCTGCTCCAAGCAGGTGGCTCTCTGTGCTAAGTCCTTGTGCCTCTGGGACCGTGGCCGTGCCGGAGAGCCGCTCGTGGGGGACAGCTGGCGACCTCGGTCGGGCATGAAGGACGGCCCATTACGTCCCCCTTCCCATGAGGTCCCTGCCGCTCCCACCCCCGGCTCAAACCTGCTGTCCACAAGGCTCCCGTGCGGCCGCCATCTTTCTTTTGTGACAAATAGATTTTTGGGGAATTGAAGGGAAATTTATTTCTTACCCTTGTCACAGTATAAAATTATGGAATACATTGATTTTTTTTGATACAGGACCAGAAAGAATGAGAGATGAGATTTTAGTCATAAGATATATCCTGAAATGTCACTGAGAATGGTTTTATACCATCGATCCTACATTTCTTCTTCTCTGACTAGAACTTAGGTCAAAACTTCTGTGGTACAGGGAGATCCACGTGAAATGCAGTAGTTGAAGGAAAGTGAGCAGGAAGCAGGAATTTTGTCTTAAGTATGATTTTAATTTCAGTAAGTGATGTTGAATCACGAGGGGAAGAGATCATGGGGGGTCCTATGGAAGTTATTTCAGCAGCAAATTGCTTTCATGCTGACTCTCAAAATGAGCTATTAAAGGCAAATATACCCAGTATCAGTGCTTTAATAGTGTTTTGATCAGTGTTTTTTGAAACTTGGAGGTAACCCAGATTTTAGGGGTCTGTGGAAGAGAAAAGGCTGATTATTGACCTTAGTAAGGCCAAAGTCCACTTAGAAACAAGCAATTGTGACCATGAGTTCATTCTTTCATTTGCTTGATACTGGGTGGTATTTTCTTTATCCCCACCAGAATTTAGACTGTTGCCAGATTTTAGTGTTGAAGAATAAAGGTGCTATGTTTCTATGCAGGGTTTTGAGTAAAGTTAGACTTTATTTATCCCATATAAATACAAAACATAGGGTTGTTTTTGATATCAAGATATGATACCATGCTAAGGTTACCACATGCTAGTTTGTATTTCCTGCACCAAACTACAAAGCTGCTTTTACAAAGTGGCTGTGCCATCTTATATTTACAACATAAGTGCATGAGAATTTTAATTCTCTACTTGGTTCTTTATTTTGTTTTACTTTACACTCTTAATAGGCAGAGAGAGGTAACTCAGATTTTAATTAGCATTTCTTCAGACTATCTTGAGTACATTTTTATGTGTTAATTTATCATCTATGCTTCTTCTTCAATTTTATATTAAGATATGCAAACTGGGTGATTCAAAACCCATGTTCATCTTGTGTATTTTTCTTATTTGAGTTTTCGAGGTTTTTAATATAGCCTAGATATAGGTTTTTACCACGTCTTTACCAATAGTGTGCTTCTTCTCCAGACTATCAGCTCTAAACCATGTGAAGTGACACATGCTTGTGGCATTTGATTGGAATCTTCCTGTTAGTGAGTGACAGGAAGCATTTTCATGCACCTGTTGCCCATAGGCTTGTCTTGGAGACTCTGGAAAACTAATCCCTGACCTGAAACAGAAGAGGCATATGTCGCACTGCTGATCCTCACAACTGACTTTTCTACCTTTTGCTGTTTCTTTTCATATTCCTGAACTCCTTTGCCTAGGTAAAGGTAAAGGTAAAGGCCCTCCCATTGATCGTCGATTTGCTCGAGCGGGCCCAGTAACGTCTCCATTGGAGACTTTGTTGTTACTGTGTCTGGCATATCGAATACTCTCGGTAGCTTGCCGGGCTCTCCGAGAGGGGCGGAGGAATCGAACTCGGGTCGGCCATGTTGGCCGCTTGTAAGGCGAACGCCCTACCCGCTGTGCTATCGCTCTAGCCCTAGAACTGTAGGATTTCCTATGGCTGGAGATTCTATTTCTTTTATTTAAGAACATCTTTGATCAATGATAATAGCTTATGGGTCATGACATTTTGTGAAAGGAATTGGCAATAGAGAAATTGTGCTGTAGCAGATGTTGGAAGTAGATTTTTGTAATAAACTTGTTTTCCTCATAAAGCTTACAGAAAAATGAGATGATGATATTTTACTTTAAAGGTGCACATATCCAAGAAAAATATAGAACAACTCGACCTTGTGAAACCCTTCACAGACATGCTTACTGCCTCGTCACTTTTTTGATTATTGTTACATCTATGTTTATTATTATATCTTTTGTTAGTTTGACAGGTAAGTTACTTGTTTTGCAAACTCTGTAATGTTCTCCATACATTAATATGGCTATAAATATTCCTTTGAGTCCTGTTTTATGCCAGGCAATGTTCAAAGTGCCTGGGGTATATTGGTGAATAAAACATAAAAATTCCTTCTTCCAGTTTATATTACAGAAGGAAGATGTAACTGTCATAGGAAATTAAAGTAAGGGGTAAGGAAACAAGCTGCAGTGTACATAGAAATGACACATACTCTTCAGTGGGAATCTCTCCCTTTCTGCAAACTTTTGAAGGAGATGAAGGGAGCATACTGATTCTTGGGGGAAACTCTTCAAACACATTAAACAATACAACAAATTCTCAAAGAAGGAATATCCCTAGTGCTATGAATAAGAACAAGGAGATTGCTGGGGGTAGAACAAGGTGAGACCAAGGAAAAAGCATGGGATAGATCCAGGAGGCAGTAGCCTTGGGAGCCACTTAAAGACTTTGGGTTATACTTTGATCAGAGCTGGGAAGGTCAGGAAAAAGAAGAGATGTAAAGAAGAATTTCAAGACTCTGAGACTTTCATTGTAGTATGATCATTTTTACTTTGCTGTTAAGAAGTGATTGTTAGAAAAGAAGCAGAGAATCAAGGAGACCTACTCGGATGATATTGTAAAAATCTAGGTAAGAGATTGTGATAGTTTAGACCTGGTGGGAGATTTGTGGTTGTGATAAGTTTCTGCATACTTTTGAATGTTGGAGCCACAGTATTTTATAACATATTGCATAAGAAAATTTGCAAAAGGAGACTGAAATATAACTCTAAATATTTTTTTCTGAGTCATGGCAAGAAATGAGTTAACATCGTTGACAAGAGAAAGGCTTAAGGAATTTATCTTTGGAACTGTTTCTTACACAGAGAATGTCCAAAAGTACAGATTTATATGCTTACCAACAATCTGTATATATGTGTAATTGGTCATTAATAAATCAATCACCAGTAGTAATAAATAATTATTTTGTCTATTCTGATTTTATTACTGTCTGTCTTGTCAAGACCTTTCTCCCCAACTCCTAATCTATCCAAGCCCAATAGTACATTGTTTTAGAGGATGTAGTGATACTAAACTTGACAGAAATGTACTTTCTACTCTCTAATCTAATTTTCCTAAGGATAAAGATTCAGAAAATTTTAAAGAGTTGTCTTTCTTTGACTAAGAGATAATTAAAGTCATCATTGATATTCAATATTTTGATACCATTTTTTTTCTTTTGCTGGGCCTTCAAGAATTAATGTAGTCTTAGTAGCAAAAGGAGGATAAAATTATCAAAGTATGGAATGGGAATATTTTATTCTTCCTATACTCTGCTCCAAAATAGTCATTGTTTTATAACATTTAACAAGAACCAAAATATTTTATTCATATTTAAAAGCCATACATAGAAAACAAAAATGTAAAAAGCCCTACATTGTATTTTTGTTAACTGAATAATATTTGGATTGCTATATTATGTTTCCACTGAAGTGTTTTGTGGCTCCTGAGATTGTACCATAGTAAAGTACAGTATATAAAGAATGACAAGAGGAAGAGGTGCTAATATTAAAGAAAATGTAAGAGTAGAGCCTATAGCTTATTCTAGGAAAGCACCCTAGAAAAATATTAGATTTACCTTTTGGAGACATTTGAACCATTTATAAAAGTATCATAAAGATTATGCTTTATAAATTTTTTTCTGAAGCCATTAATGTCCACGTACCCCTGTAAAAATGAGACACACAGGTACCCCCTCTCAGGGGATTGTGACTATTGTACCTTGGATACGATTGTCAATGACGAGTTAGAAATTAATGTCCATAACTTTAACAGTGACCTTGGGATAGTAAGAGGGAAAATAAGTTAAAAGGATGAGAAAATATATTTACTATATTTTGTTGTGATTATCCAAATTTTAGCAAGAAAAGAAAGAACAGTTTCAGAAGTGCACGTTCATTCCATCTGCCCACCAATGTGGATTGGATTTGGAAATAAGTGCTTTTATTTTTCTGAAGACAAACAAAACTGGACATTCAGCCAGACTTTCTGTGACTCATTGGAAGCTGATCTTGTTCAGATTGACACTGAAGAAGAACTGGTAAGAATTGTTCTGGAGCACATGTGAGAGCACGTGCCCGTCACATGCAGGACCCTGAGTTCATCCACCAGCACAACATGCCCAGTACCCCAGGACAAGTGTCACCCTGCTTGCTCTAGCACCGCCAGTACACACTGGGCTGAGCTTTGCATAAAGTGGCCCCATCCAATTTCTCCCAAAACCCCAGGGTCTGGTCCATATTTTTAAAAGAAGAACCATTTGGGGAGCATATTTTCCATTGAATGAGGAGCTCCTGCAAAGAGGGTTGGATGTTTCACAGGGCTAATGCTGAAAGAAAATGATGTCTTTGATTTAGTCTGGGGCACAGATAACTTTCTGAACGTGTGTTGAATTCTCTGTCTGGAACCCAGTGAGACATGTCCGATATGTTCTCCCATGTAATCCTCATAGTCAACCTAGAAGCTTAGATGTACTGTTCCCTGTGTGCACAGAATTATTGTATTCATGTAATTTTTCATTCAAATTGTGGGAGTGACAGTGTTCACAATATACTAAAACGGTAGGCCCAAAGTAAGACTTTGCCAATCTCACTGGGAAAATGGTTTAGGAGCAGAGACATAGAATAATGACTCAAGCTGAGAAATGGAGTAAAGAATAACTTTTTCATTTATACTGTGCTGCCATCCCTAATAGAAGACTCTAAGAAAGATAGACTTGGGATAAGCAAGAAAGATGCATGTTTTCACTTTTTATGTTTATAATAGAAAGTTCTGAGAAGATACAAAGGCCCTCATGATCATTGGATAGGCCTTAGCAGGGAATCACCAAGTCACTCCTGGAAATGGACAAATAATATTGGAGGCAACATTGTGTATGTATTGACACTTATTTTCCTTTTGCTATGATGACTTAGGGTGTTTATAAGACAACAACTTTAATATAAAAAACCTATAGTACTGTATAAGAAATAGAAATTCTTTCTATACCTTTCCGTTTACTAGCCAGTTTCTTGAAAACTCAATTCATTGTGATTTTAGTTGAAATATTTAATATGATGATGATATATGTATACATTCTTGTACTTTAATATCCCGATTCAGATTTTTTTCTGATGAAATATTTATTTAGAAGGTGAAAAGAACTGCTAGTATGCAGTGGGAAAGGGGTGGGGGGGAGTGTTCTAAAATCCTAGAAAGTCACTAATGATTTGATTCCCATAAAGCCTTCAAAAATCCATTTTCCAGCTGCTGCATCCATTCACAAAAGTAAGGAATAATGGTTCAAAGAGAAGCTGTGGAAATCTCTCTGAGAGATGTACCAGCAGACACTGTAGCTCCCTGTGTTGTGGACAGAAAATGAGGTCATTGGAAATTCATCAAATATAAGGGCCTGATCATTTTCATCAAAATAAAGCTCTTTATCACATTGCTAATAAGTATTTTTATTTTTTGCATTTATGAAGCAGTTCACGAGAGGATTGAGAATGATTTTCACTGATACAACTTATGAAAAAACACATAAAGTCACTGGAGCAACAATATAACTAGATTTGGATTGGGTGAATCATACAGTCAGTGGTGTTCAAGCATCTGTCTTGAAAAAATAAAGAGAACTAAATATAAAAATATTGTTTATTACTAATAATCACATAAGTGACAATATTTTTTTATTTCTATTGAAAAAAGTGGAGTATTACAGATCACACTGGAGGAATGAATGCAAAATGTTCAACGTATGACTAATTCTTTTGTTTTGTTTTGTTTTGTTTTAGGTTTCAGGTCAGAGGAACTGGGGAATATGCCTACTTGGATTACAAAGGAGTGAGCAGTGGCAAGATTTACTCAGACAAAAAATGGATTTGTAGCAAACCATATGTCTCCACTTGTGAAATTACTTCAAACTCATGAGCAGAAAACCTGCATTGTTCTCGCTATCTACAGTTGCTGAATGCTTTTCTAAAAGTGTTGACCTGAAAACGTGTAATATCAGTTGACAGCAAAAGTGAAAATTGAGTCAGAGAGAATTGCAGAAGTCTTCCCAAACCAAAATAAAACAGAGATTTGGGATAGCATGATTCAGGTAGGAGTTAATACTTGTAACTTGAACCCTGGGGAAAAAATCAGTATTACAAACTCTACCTCTATAATATACATAAAACTTTCCCCTCATAGACTGTTACCTTCCTTACAAACTGGCCATAAAAATGACTGTTAAAGCCAGACAAAATCTTTTTAATAACGCATGAGAAAAATTTCAGTAATTTTGTAATTTAAAATATGTTGATTTACTGAGAGTTCTTTTGCTGTCTGTTGCACATGTAGGGAGATGTTTTTAACATAGTGTTCTGAGGCATTATCCTTATTCTATGCTAAAAATAATTTTCTTAGTAGGTAAGTTTTACACTTTAACATTTTCACTTTCAGTAACTATACAGAGTATCACCATTCTTGTTCTGAAGAGCTTCTTGGAGCAGTAGAGCGTGTGCCTATAATGCTTGAGGCTGAGTGTGATGATTTGAGACCCAAAAGCAGGCTTCTAGGTAGCCATGACAAGCTGTAGCTAATACTAAGTCTCAACTCGGCCTCAGTTTTTGTTTCTGTGGTAAACTCCCAGTTGAGTAATTTGTGAAGATAAGGAATCAGGCAGTTGGGTCTGGTTGGTCATTCTAACCCTCCTTAGAAACTGTTGCTAACCGTTGCCTAATTGCTGACCACCATTATAATAGGGCTGATGCTAAAAATAGACCAGTATATAAATTGCTTCTTAACTATGTACCCTATATGAACTGATTGTGATTTGGATTCTGGCCCTTGTCAGACTCCACTGTGTTGGATGAGACCTGGCCCCTAGCTCGAGCTAGCGCTGGCTCGGGCTAGTAATAAAGTTCCTTTGCTTTTGCATTATCATGTGTGGACTTGGTCTCTCCGCAATTGGGGATCTGAAACTCCAGCACAACATCTGGTGCGTTGGCCGGGTAACCCTAGCGGTTTAGATCTCTCCACATATGATATAGGAACTTTATTCAGGTTTTACCAGTTTAGAAAAACCAGACCAAGCCGGTTCTTTCTTCCGTAGAAGAATCGGACCAGGTTTTGCGGGGTTTAGAAAAACGCTAATGTGCCAGCTCTTTCTTGCGTAGAAAACTGTCCTGGCAGGACGCTAGTCAGGGCGACTAGCGGAAGGGCCCGATCCGGAGACCTGCAGAGGACCTAGGGGGACGTGCCAGAGGGTCGCTGGTAGGTAAGACGTCCCCACTGCTCCTGGGATACCCCAAGTTTGAGGTGTCAGAATCTGAATCTGGAGCGTGCATTGTCAAGAAGTCTTTTACGGCTGTTGTGTGTCTGTTGTCTGAGTGTCGTATTTTTATGTTGTCTGTTTGTCCTGTTTCTAGTGAATCTTTGTCTTTGGCCCCTAATTTACCATCTAGTCATGGGTCAGAATCAGTTGACCTCACTTTCCCTTGTGACTGACCAGTGATTTCAGGTCCAGGGGCAGCAACCTCTCGGTAGAGGTGAAGCGAGGTAAACTGATAACTCTTTGTCCTGCAGAATGGCCAGCTTTCAATATTATCTGGCTGGCAGAAGGCATTTTTGATATGGGGACCATTCTAAAAAGTTAAAGTTTTCTTTCCAGGACCGGGAGGACACCCGGACCTGACCCTTTACACCTTGGTCTGGGAGGAACTGGTTGAGAGACCCCTGCCTGGTTAAAAATAAGAGTGTTTTGAAACAGTGCAAAGATAAAATTAGGCTACTTTAAAACGAAGTTTTCTCATGCTCTCATAAACATTGACAGCCCAAATGTTTTCTGATGCTGCTATTTAAAAGTTTGGTGAGTATCGATGGTCTCTTTCTGTGTCTGAAAGCATGTATCACTGTCACTGTCCTGCCATTGTTCAGCAATTTGCTCCAGCAGGTCCAGTAACATTGTGAGACTTGTTACTATGTTTGGCATAATGAATACATCAAGAGTAGCTTGCCAGGCTTTGCCATGTGGGTGAGATACTCTCGGTAGCTTGCCAGGCTCTCCGAGAGGAGCAGAGGAATCAAACTCGGATTGGCCATGTTGGCTGCATGCTAGGCAAATGCCCTACCCGCTGTACTATCGCTCCAGCCCAGAAAACATGTATGAATTGTGAAATTGTTAAAGTAGCCCTGTCGTCCTGTTGTTCATTGATTTGCTCGAGCGGGCACCAGTAATATCTCCATTGTTAGACTTGTTGTTACTGTTTTTGGCGCTTCGAATACGTTACGGGTAGCTTGCTAGGATTTGCCATGTGGGCAGGATACTCTCGGTAGCTTGCTGGACTCTCCAAGAGGGGCAGAGGACTCAAACTCGGGTCATCCTGGGTCGTTAAAGCTATCTGGTGAAAAGTCTTATGATTTGAGATAATTAACAACTTTAAAATTAAGCCAAAGAAGGTTTTCCTATGTCTCAAAGAATTGATGGTATGAGGGTTTTCTTATGCTGGTATGTTGATGTATTTGCACTGGATTATTAGAATGTGAGTTGAAATTAAGGTGGTACATAAAAACAAGTTTAAAGAGTAATGGGTTAAAATGTGAGTTTCTAAAGTTTTAGAATTGGTTGCAAAATTTCTTACCCTACCAGTATTCTATTTCTGAGATTGTTAGTAACCTAAATTTCAGGAGCTATTGAAACCAGAAAATTTGCCTTGATAAAAATTAAAGATACTGGACTTTCCTGCTGGAGTACAGACCAGCTTTTTTTTTTAACTGAAGGGAAAAAAAGAAAAAAGGTTCACTTTTAAAATTCAAGTGGCTACAGGCAACCCCTTTGGTTTTAGTGGTTTCTGAAAATGGGAAAGTGTGTGAGTGAGGTGCACAAAGGTTCTGAGCTGCCCCAGCAACTGTGGGTGATGCCCAGAAGAAATAACTAAGATGTTTTCTGTGAGTGTTTTAATTTTTTTATATCTGTTTCCCTAGAAATTGGAATTCTAAAGATAAAGTTTCAAATTTACAGTGAAATTTTGCCAAGTAGATATGTTTTATAATATCTTTAATTGTGAGCACTTGTAA